AAAACTAGGCTGTCTCAGACCTCCCAGAGGACCTTTTCCACTACCGCCCCCAGGCTATGTAATGGCCTGCCAGACAAGATCCGTCTTATTACCACGCTCACTGCCTTTAAAAAGGCAGTGAAGACGGATCTCTTCCAGCAGGCCTTCTCTGAATAATATCCCCCCGGATTTTCTGCCCTAGATGAGTTTGTCTGTTATTTAATTGGCTTATCGCGTGTGACTATTGTGTGCTGAATTTTATTGTTTTATTATTTAATTGTTTAATTGCTTTTAACCTTTTCCTGTTTAATCCTGTTTTAAGGGGTTGGGAGGTTGGGACTTGGGGATTGTGGTTGTTTTTACATTGTCTTGTTTTAATGCTGTAACCCACCTCGTTTGTTGGGCAGAGAGGCAGGCTATAAATAAAATTTATTATTATTATTATTATTATTATTAGCCCTCAATCCACATTTGTCTTTTTTTAAAGACACCAAAATTCAGCATGATCTGGGTGATTTTTACCCTGTAACCACACATGTGAAAATACCCCATCCACTCTGACAAGAAACCTAGAGCCTAGTTCTAATCCCCCCATATCTTTGCCTTCCTCTGAAGTCCCTCTCAAAATGATGCTAGAAATGATGTCATTTGCTGTCATTATTTTGAGAAAGAATTCAGAGGAAAACAGAAGTATTTGGGCTTGCTGGGGTAGGTGCAGTTCACGAGGGGACTGTGTGGGGAATTCACCTCTGGCCCCCATGCCATTGCCTACTCCTGGAGAACTACTATTGATTATTACAGACAAAACTGAGCTATTTGGTCTCTTGTGGCATTTTGTGTTCATTAGTAGTACTGGGAGTGTGCTTTCCATGGACTGAATTCTGCTCTTAGGTTCATTTGACCCAGAGTATTTCTTCTTTACCAGAGTGCCCCTCCCCCCCAATTTGGTACCTGGCCATGATAAACCACTTTCCTACTAGAATTTGCTTACTAGATTTTTAGAGGACCCCCTTTAGATATTTTCTTAGTGAGAGTTGTTGGGGATGAATACTCTCTATTTTGTAGAATTTCACAGAATCCCAAAGAATTAAAGATCTTTTCCTCTCTGTGTGTGCAACCTGTTTCTAAAACTAATGACCATGTGAATGAGCCTTCAGAAGTTTAGCAACATTTATTATCTTAGATCTCTTCCATTTTTCCTCCTCCTCCTCCCCTTCCCCCCTTTCTTTCTTTCTTTTTGCTGCATCAAGCAGCATCTATAAATTGACTCGAAAGAAGGATTCATTAAGGTTCAAACACTTGGGGCAGGGATTAACTTGCTCTGAATGCAGGGTCTGATTCAAAAGCTGAAATGCCATAGTATATGTCAGTGGTCACTAAACTGATTAAGAGGTGGCTATCTTCAGCAGTAAAAAGGCTATCTGCTAATACTAAATGCCATTTACCCTGCTCTGATTCTGTGAATGAACACAGAGCCATCATAAGGGTTTTGCTTTCTGTTCTTCAGAGTTACAATAATAATTCAACAGCAGGTTTGGGTTTCAGTACTTGTTTCTATTAAGCAAATTTGCAGTGTTCACAAATTTCATGATTGCCTTTTTATTCTAGATTTTTTTTTAAAAGGAGAGAGTTCTTCCACACCTAAGAATGTGGGTCACAGCAGGAGGGCTTTATGTGGCACACACATATATATGTATGCAGGTAGAGGCTATACAATTCCTCTCCTATTTTTTTATGGGAGGTGTTTTGCGATTTTTTGGTCACAGGCTCCATAAAAGTGGATCAATAATTTCTTATGATTTAACCCTTTGTGAAATTTCTCCTTGCTTCTGTTCTCTTCCCCCCACCATCCATAAGTTACAAAACTCAAGCACAGAAATTATTCCAAAAGGCCTTTATGCAGGCATGTCAATACTGAATAGTTCTGAATTTAAAAGGATGAATAGGAGCAAGAGAATGCAAACAGGATTTGCATGAGAGTCCATGTGGTGCAGATGTTAAACAAATGAGATGCCTGAACTACAAGAGAGCTGCACAGTACAGCTTCCCAGTTGAAGTACAGCTTCCCAACTGTTCATGTGTGCACTCCAAATCTTCCCAGTTTATGGCTGATGCTTGCAGGGAAAATTAAAAAAGCCAGTTTAGCTAGAGAAAATGCACCTGTTGCCCTGTGGCTTTGATTTAGAGCATTTAAACTCTGGGTATCCCTGGAACAAACTTCATAGCAGAACTCCTTGTACAACTATTCCCAACTGGAGGAGAAAACACACATTGGCCTGGAAATTGCTTATCAACCCAGTTCATTTGTCAGCTAGATGCGTCCTTTTCTGATGGAGCAGAAGGTGAACCTCCTTTCCCTATACTTTGTTGTTGTTAAGATGTGTCCTCATGTTGACTCCAAATCATGTGAACCCTGTGATGAGGTTTTCTTGGCGAGATTTATTCAGAGGAGGTTTGCCATTGCATTCCTTTTCAGCTGAGAGACTAGCCCAAGGTTACTCAGTGGGTTTCCATGGCTGACTAGAATTCCCAGAGTCCTAGTTTAACACACAAACCACTATCTCATGCTACCTCTCCTATACTACCTCTCCTATACAACCAAAATATACCTGCTTCACATGATTGTTGATTTACTAAATTATTTCCTTCATCAGGGATGAGGGAGAAGGGGGTATAGATCAAAGAAAGGAAGCAGCCCTCAGAGAAGATCATGGGAGTCATCAGCCATCACTGTCCAATTCTCTCTGCTTTATACCCTCCCATTCAGTAATACACCCATTGCCCTGTCTGTTCTAAGGGACCATGTTGCTGCAACACTCAGTCTTCCATTTGTTTACATAACAACACTGCAAAAAGGAATAATGTCTTTCCTGAGAGATTGGCCATAGTGGTAAGGACTGGATATCATTCTTTCCCTCATCACTGAACAGCTGATCGGTGCTTTCCTGACTGGATTTTGTATGCCCAGACCTGTCTGCTGTGGGTCTCTATGTAGACCCACAAATCAAATTCTTATTTACTAATGTCCTCTGGAACATGGATGTCACAGTTTATCATTTTGGGATGTATAGCAAAAACTACTTGTTGAAATATTCTTCAATGAAGAAAAAGTTTCTCACACATAGAAAATCTGCATGTTAGAGAGAAGGATGGGTTAACCCAGAGTGTGCTCACCAACAACTGCTCTCCATCCTTGGGAGAAGTGACTAGTGGGATGCCCCAGGTTTCTGGCTTGGTGTTGTTCAATCAATACTTTTGTACATGACTTAGAAGATGGAATAGAAGGCATGCTTTCCAAATTTTCAGAGGACATCAATGGTGGGATGTAGCCGACACTCCAGAGGAAGGATCAGAATTCAAATTTACCTTGATAGATTGGAAAGTTGGACCAAAACTAACAAAATGAATTTCAAAGGCAATAAATGTAAGGTATTACATCTTGTGTTCAGAGAAGGGCAACTAAGATTGTCAAAGGTTTGGAAACCAAGTCAAATGAGAAATGACTTATAGAAGACTGAGAGCTGGCATGACAGTCATCCTTAAATATGTGAAGGGTTGTCATGTAAAAGATGGAGTAAGCTTCTTCCCTGCTGCTCTAGAGATCAGATCGAGGAGATTCAGATCTAGAGATCAGAACAAGGAGATTCAAATTAGAAGAGATTCAAATTAGAAGAGAAACCAATGGATTCAAATTAGAAGAGATTCTACCTAAGTATTAGGGAGAAGAAACAGTGTGGTGTAGTGGTTTGAGCACTGGACTACAACTCTGGAGACCAGGGTTTGATTCCCCACAGGGTGACCTTGGGTGAGTCACACACTCTCAGCCACAGAAAACCCCATTATAGGTTTGCTTGAGGGTTGACAAAAGTTGGAAATAACTTGAAGGCACACACAACAACATTTAGGGAGAACTTCTTAAAGTAAGCCTTATCTGACAGTGCACCAGACTTCCCTGGATTTTCCTTCTGTGGAGGTCATTAAATAGAGGCTGAATGGGTATCTTTCATAAATGCTTTAGTTGTCTGTTCCTACATGGTAGTGGGCTGGAATAGATGGCCACTGTGGACCCTTCCAGCTCTAAGAGTCCATGATTCTTTCTCTTTTGTTTACTTCTGATTCATAGGCTACTATGGAGACACAAGACCCCTCCATAGCCCCTTATCATCTTTTCTTTTGACATGAGCATCACTTGAATAAACAACAGTATAAGATGACCAGGAAACATTCATAATTTTTAATTCACACCTGTAATAAAATTGCATTACATTTTTCATAAAATAAATGTTCCAGTTTATATACAGAAAAAACAAACTGTACAGAGCCCTCCCCCAAATCCCCCCCAAAACCTCACGAACATACAGGCAATGCAGTGCTCAGCTAAGCAGGCACGACTGTACATCTAAAATTGTAACTGCTTTGTGTTTTGTGTGTGTGGGAAATACTACAATGTATTCAGTCCTTTTGGACCAAGAATTAAAAAAATATTGCAGGCAAGCTGACAGACGCCCGTCACTATTAGTGCAGGTGAACGTCCATCCCACAGTGTTTCAGGAAAGCAGGCTGTGTTATTGAACTTGGGGTTCAAAGCTTCCATTCAGTTGTCCCTCCTCATAGTCCATCTGACACAAGATCATGTTGTTCTTCAGGAAAAACTTGTCCCCCACACAAAATCTACAAAACAAACAAACAAACAAAACATTTATGCAGGAGACTTATAATGCATATCTGAAAAAGAACAAAAACCTCAAGAAACTGATTTTACTCATTCTTGAGTGGGTATTACATCATTTTCATGTTTCTCTATAAAATATGTTTATCTTCCATTAAAATTTAAGAATGCAGAGACGTTAGATACTCTTTCTCCACCCCAGAAAAGATTCTGATTGTTTTCTTTCAGGGCCTTTACAGACTGCCAGAAATAATGAAGCTTAAGGCCACTTTAACTGTCCTGGCTCAGTGCTAAGGAATCATGGGAACTGTAGTTTATTGTGGCACCAGAACCCTTTGACAGAGAAGGCTAAATGTCCCAGAAAAAAAAATAGTTCCCATGATTCCCTAGCATTGAGCCAGGACAGTTAAAGTGGACTCAAGCTGCATTATTTCTGGCAGTCTGCAAAGGCCCTTAGTTGCTGTCAGCTAATTATTTGTCATAGTTATGAAAAAGTCAATGTAGTCTGAAGAAGTCAATGTAGTACAATAATCAGGATTGTCCCTCCCATTAGGCTTAGCCAACTGACTTGGCAAAAATAGTACGGTATATTTTAAATGAGTAGAAAGTTATTTCATTTATATTCACAAATATTTAATAAAATAATACAAATGTTTTTGTATAAAAATATATTCCACACACATAAAATGTATTTATTTTTAATAAAACATTTATATAAAATATATAACATCATATATTATATAAATATTTTATGAATTTAAATAGATATTGTCTGTGTATGTAGAATACATTTTTTATGTTTTATGTAAAACTTTTTTTTGTATAAAACCTTTTAAAACTGGATAAATGAACATCATCTGGACCTCATCATTTTGGTTGGAGCTCCTGAATGTATATGAATTGCATCACTGATGTATAGTTTGAAAGGAGTAAAAGAAAAGTATTCCAAAAGATCTGTGGTCTAACCTTTTCTCAGACACCAAAAGAAATTTCAAATAAATGCCTTTTCTCTTGGCCTCTTCTCTTCCCAAACTTTGTTTAAGTCTAGGTAAATTCTTATGAGTATTTATTTACTTATTAAAATATTTATATCCTGCACTACATACAAAGATCTCAGGGTGAGTTACAACTATATCAATTAAAAATGATAAATAATAATAATTTTTAAAATATTAAAAACATATTAAATATATTTTTAGTTAAAGACCAGACTATTAAGAACCTATTAAAACAATTTTAAGTAACAAAGTCATAGCATATGCACATCCCAGATAAAACCAGTTATGCCCGAAACCTTTACTAAAAAAAACACGTTTGGAGCTCCCAAGCCATTTAGGATTTTAAACGTTATCACTAGCACCTTGAATTCAGGCAAGAAGCATATTGGTAGAGGTGTAATTCCTTCAAAACAGAATGTACAGTTGTCCCTTCCCATTTGCGGACTTCGAGTCTGCAGTCTCGCTCTTCGCAGGAGGGATGGGGGGGGGGGAATAAAATGTTGACACGTGCACACAGTCCCACACAAGTGCCATGGGCACAAGCACCATTATTTTCAATGGGTCTCGAATCTATGTGAGTCACAATTTTCACGGGGTGGGTGGGTCCAGAATGGATCCTTTGCAAATTGGGAGGGGCTTTTGCATTAGTTGCAGTTACTGAGTTGTCTTCAAGGGCAGCCCCACACAGAGTACACTGCAGTAATTTAACTGGGAAGTTACCAGTGCATGCGCTACTATAGCTAAGTGTACTGAGTCACATTATATTTTCACTGAATACACAATGCCCCTTTGTTTTGGGTTGATTTCTTCTTAATTTGTTATCAGTATGTGTGTCCAGATATCAGAACATTGACAGATGTTCTTCCTAGCCACTCACCCTCCTCTGAGCATTACATGACTGTGTTGAGGAGGGCCCCCACGGGAAAACAGACAGTCCTGGGGTGGTGAGGAGATGGGATTGAATTTTGCATCGAAGAACTTTATACTTCCTCTCCTTTATGCAGAATCATAACTTGTAGGCCAACTTTTGACAAGTAACAGGACAGAATTATAGGCCTTCACACTTAGGGGCTATGCAGACTCGCCTAAAAGGTTGGTGTTGGGATGGGGCAGCCGCACACATTTGCATGGCTGCGCCAAAAGGGTACGGAAGAGCTACAGCGCTGGCTCTTAGAGCTGCCTTTTGTCGCTCCTAAAAGGAGTGGCAATTTTGGGGGATGGCAAAAGGGAGGATTAGGGCCATGGCATAAGGTTGCCGCAGCCCTGATCCACCACTCCCAGGGACGGCTCTGTGTCGCTTCTTTAGGTGGGTCTGTAAAGGCCCTCAGTTTCCCCGCTCTTGTGTTAGAGATGTGAAATAGGGACTATATGCCTATGTCCGCTAGCCATGCCCACACTGCCTGCATATTAGGTGTGATGGTTGAAGTGAGAAAGGACTATGCACATACTCCATTCTCTGGTTTTAAATCTTTTCCAACATATCAAATATTTCAGTGTGGAAGGCAGGGCTAGCAGGGCGTGCAATGTGATCTGACTATCTCTTATAATATCCTTTAGATTGAAAGTGAGTATCTTGGCCCTGCCCATAACAAAGACTGTTGTAGTCAGTTAAACTTCAGGTTGCTTCCTACCTCTGTAGGTGCTATCCAAATATATAGGCCAACCCCCCCCCAAAAAAACCTAAAAAAAGCCCCAGCAATATCTTCTTTCCTTCTTCTCCCAAGACACATATTTTTATTCATATCATGCTGGCACAGATAAAATTCCACAGATTATTGCCCAGTTCACAGTGTCCATATTTCCATAGCCCTGAGGTGACTCACAGTATTTACTTCATTTTAAAGCCAATGAAGCCCATTCTTTGCTACCTTACGTGCAGGACTGAAGAATACATAGAAATTTCCTCAGGACTCTGTTAGCCTTTGATGGAAGCACAAGGTTTTCAATATACAATGTAAATTGTTCTGTTTGAATGGAGTCCTGTGCTATTTAACTAATTTTATCAGAACATCATTTAGTGGTGTTTTTAATTTTTTTTTTATAAATCCCAAATATCATTATGTAAAGGGCAAGGCCAAAGCAGTCACTAGATATTTCACACTCCCTGCTCAGCAGTTGGCATAAACCCTGCTTAGCTTCCAAGATCTCCCAGAATCTGGCACCTTCAGGGTATTTATATATGGTAAGAAGGACTATAATTCCTGACAAAATATCTTAAACTCTGCAGGAAGAGTACTTCATGAATGCTGGATGACTGAATGGAGTGGAGATGTTGTCAGACTTTGCACTGGCAGATAGGTAATGTGTTTCCTCTCAGGCAAGCACATAGAATCAGCTACATACATTGCAAGATATTTTATTTCCTTGATAGCAAGCCTTATTCATGCCACCAGAGTGTCTTGTTTTTTTAAACTTAATAAAATGCATTTCATTACCACCTGAAATTTGCAGACTTAAGGAGGATGCTCTGATACTTTGGCCTAAATCCAATTGTTATTCCTAACTAAAGTAGAAACAATCAATCAATCAGTGGAAAAGAGATTCCACTTAAACATTAGGAAGAACTTCCTGATGGTAAGAGGTGTTTGACAGTGGAATAAACTGCCTCAGAGAATGGTGGAATCTCCTTCTTTGGAGGTTTTTAAACAAAGGCTGGATGCCCATCTGTCAGAAGTGCTTTGAATGTGTCTTCCTGCATGACAATGGATTGGATTGGATAGCCCTTGTGGTGTCTTCCAACTCTACAATTTCTATGAATCAATGGGATTTAAATAAATAATGATTTACCAAGACCCCACAGATTCACTGAATTCATTGGTGGGAATAAAAGTTGAATTTGAACACTCTGTTAAGTGTTAGACCTTTTATTAAGCAAACTCAATGGTTGCAAAATACTGCGACTTTTGCATTAGCCTAGTGAAAGTTATACCATAATTCTCTTTGGCAGTGTGCATATGGATCTTTTTAAAGAAATCTGCAAAAACATTTAGTGACCTTTGAGTTAATTAAAAACAGTATCATAATACAAATTTTCAAAAAAAGAAAAAAAACTTTTTTGGCCAACACTTTTTTTGCTTGTGTCAAAATTTATTTATTTCCATCTTAACAAGGTTGGTGAGGGCTAAAAAGCTC